TCTAACTCATCTCACTTCCTCCCACTCACTCCTTCTCTCTCTTCTCTCTCTCTCTCTCTCTCATACTTTTTCTCTCTCACACTCCCCCTTTCGCTCGCTCACTTACTCTCTTTCACGCACATTATCTTTCTCCCTCTCATTTTCATAATCTCTCACTCCTTCTTTCATTCACACACTCTCTTTCGCTCTCTCTCTCTCTCTCTCTCCCGTTATTTCGCTACCTATCTCTCTCTCCCCTCTCTCTCTCTTTTTCGTTCCCTCTTTCTCTATTACTCCCTTATTCCCTCTTTCTTTCACTCCCTCTCTCCCTATATATTTCTATCCTTATCTCTCTCAATAAAAATTTCTTTAAATGCTGTGGATAGCTAACATAACGTAAAAACATAATGTAATTTTTGTACCAAAGGATTTAGCTAAGCTAAAACTACGTTCAATAAATAACTTTTTCACGAATGCCAATTTCGAAAATTAAATGAACGAAGGATTTTCACTTCAAAGCTTTATTCGAGCCATAAGTGGTAGCATTGAAAAACCCCAGCTTTTAACCACTTTGAATAATAACGAGAGCACTTACAAAACACGATGTTAACATGATTTACATGGTAAACAGGAAAATGGCTTTGACGAAAATCGAATGGGTGTGTCAAAATCTAGAAGGAAAATAGTATAGGGAAATAATCACGTTTCAGACATTTACAGAGATTGAATTTTCTATGAAAAAAATCCTCAAATTTCTATATCATTTTTGTTGTACACGTATTTTGATCATTTGAGTTTATTTTTGGTAATGGACTATTTCTTATTTATTTTTATATCTGCTTGAACGTCTTCACACAGTCTTATACCATCCGAAAGTTAGAAAGAAACTGATAATTTTTAATTGAATTGTATTAGTAATGATATTTATATTGTTAGTTTTCTTTGACCGATGTAGTATGCCGTACTTATCAATTGGGAAGGATTTATTTCTGTTAACTTGATGGATGTACAAAACGCCAAAATTAAAAATTGAGTTGTGAAAGGACTAAAACGTGCCATAAATCGCATGATATAACGCCATCAATAATATTCTGAGTTGATAAAGTATTAAGGGTGTTTCCGCACGGAAGATTACCAACGATAAAAACGGATAGGACATTTCTAAACAACACTTTTAATACAACGAGGTCTTAATTGACGTAGTGAAAAATCATCTTCACCAAAGAGTACGGCGAAATCACGGTCTCTTGAGAGGTTCATCGATTTATTGAAATATATCGTCGATTAAAGAATAAGTGGATTGGTTCTAAGCACGCCAGGCGGTTTTCTTCCTCATCAAGTGTCCTCATTTACACTTATTGTGTTATAAATTACTCTTCTCGTTCCCCTATGCCATTACTCGTGACCATTTGCGGGCGACGAGCAGTATTATTATTACTGTCGACAATCATTTACCTCGTGTGCCTCCCCTTTTAACGAAATGTGTAACAAATAAACACAAAGCCTGCGATTGTCAGAGATTTATACAGACGCATATAGGCTTTAGGGCTCTATATTTTATTTTTATACGGTTATCTCTCTTAAGAGTTTCTTCAATCACTTTGTTTTCTTACTGCAATTGGTATTGCTTGGAATGAGGACAGAAATCTTCCAATTTTCTCAAGAAAACGACTATTCTTATAGTCTGCTTGAGTTAATATCTCTTGTAGCCATCTTTCAATCTCTATCTTCAGAAATCTAATACGTGTAGATGAGATTATATTGTCTAATGCTCCAAATGAACAGATGAGTTTAAATATGACAGTTTTATGTATTTGCACATTTCCTTCATGTAGTTGAGGACGACACTTTTTAAGGCGTTTAATGAATGCATAATAACATCTAATTCCTGTATGATTGCACCCTTCAGTGATTTCTTATTTTATGGAAATCATACAATTCCAGGAGATTTTGCTAATAAGACCAATCCCCTCCTATCGGGCCGTCCCTAATTCCCAAGCCTCACAGAATCCTGAAATATCCCATTCTAATTTAATTTATATATTAATCTGTTTATTTTACGCGCCGACCGAGGGTTGGTTATACTTAAGAGGAAAGTTTTCTGAAGGGTAGGACCCCTTAACAAAGGGAGTTATTAACCAAGTTGTAACCGCGGTGGGCTCAAGCCCTTGGGAGTGGCTGGTAAGGGACCAAGAACCCTACAACACGAAGCGGTTTACAGGGTAGAAACACACTGTTAAATTTATTTGGGGAATAATGTCTACTTATGAAAATTACAAAAAATTCCAGGCTTACTAGACTAATCCAAGTTGAAGACATTATTTCAAACTACGAAAAACGAAACCTTTTTAAAATAACCACGGCCTGTCAGTGTAACCAAGCAAATCTATATTAACTCGAGTGAATGACTCGATACATTAGAGCAAATAACATCAGCGTGATTAAACTATATGAACAATCACTGAATAAACTAGAGTGTGTGTCTGCATGAGCAAAGAAGAGTACGGTTTGATTAAACAAGAATGAATAAACACCTCTTTCAATACAATGGAAATACTTGCTACCTGAATAAAGAAGTCTGTATAACTTTTTGTCTGATTATACAAGAATGAATGAATTCCTGCATGAACAAACTATATTGAATAACTATCTGGGTAGAAACGGGCGAATATACACGAAAAATAATGAATTAACGACTTAAACGATAAAAATGGACAACTGTGTATCTATATAAACTAGAGAGAATGACTATCAGCTTAAACAAGAGTGAAGGACTGACTGACTAAATGAAGTTCAGTTAAACAACAATAACAGCATGTCTAAATAAACTAGTCTAAAAGACAGTCTGAGTAACCATGAATACTGATACTGCATGATAACTGAAAAATGGTACTGGTACTAATTACTGATTAAACAAGATTGAAGGACTGATTTAATGGGCAAAATGAACAGTTGCCTAGCTATATAAACTAGAGTAAATGATAGTCTGTCTGATTAAGCAGGAGTGAAGGACTGACTGACTTAACGAAGTTCAGTTAAAGACAGCATGTCTAATTAAACTAATCTAAATGACTGAATGAAATTAATGAATGGCTTGATGTCTGAATAAATAAGACTGAAGGTCTGAATTAGGGAGCAAAAGTGAACTGCTGTATTTCTATATTAAACTAGAGTTAATGGCTAACAGATTAATGAACTAGAGTGAACGACCCGCAGCATAAATTAACATTGAAATGAGTAATTTATTATTACTCATAATACATCATTATTTAAATGAATAACAAAATGGATGATTTAAATAATGTGTTCAATTCGCTGTTTCGTGAAATATGGAGAACTTGGCCTACTGTTTGATCAAATGACTTTATAAATAAAAGTAGAGAGAACGATATTTAATACTGAAAAAGCAATAATGATTCGAAAAACAAAATAAGAAAATAGCCTAGAGCAAAGTTTGATCGTTTAAAAGTTATGATCATACGCTATAAAAAAAATTTAAAAAATCCCATATATTTGTTTACGTTTAAATCTTTGGTGTGGTTGGTATGTAGCGGAGGATTTCATTTTACGTTTTGAAATAAAACTGCCAAGGTGTAGCAAAGTTCCAAAGTTGAGATTTTACCTCTAGACGGTAAAGTGACCGAACAAGATAATAACGCGACGGGATATAAGAAAGGTGCTGCGTCTTTAAAGTCACTTAATTACTTAAACATTGATTTTTTTCTCTGCCGAAAGTTAAAAATGAGCAGCGTTATATTGTCAAGAGTTGTTTTATTCCGGTTTTCTAGCGATATTTAACTTTTAAAACTCCAACAAGAAAATATCACAGTCAATCGTAGTGGCATTCTAAGTTTAAAGTACTTCGACGTTACACTAAACACAATGTACGATCTTTGACAGAATTCAAAAAACGCCCACGGTTACGCACAATTTACGCGTGTTATATAATGTGTTTATTATTGCAACTTGTCCTCGCGAAATAAGTCATGACCATCAATTGAAGAGGCCGCAAAGGTTTAGGCGTTGACACGGCGCTCATCACTGTAAGGTGAAGGTCCGTGGTATGAATCCAGCGGCCCTGCATTCGAACACGACATACTTACAAATGGTTTTTTTTTTTTTCAAAAACACCGGCACCCTGAGGGTTGATATGACCTTTGCTGTTGCGAACCCTTGTAAAAAAAAAAAAAAGTAAAATAAATAAAAAATAACTTCGGGTACACTTTTGCAAAATATTCAATGCAAACATTAATATAAATGAAAATTAAAAACGTAAATAAAATAAGGATTGATGTTTTAATGTTAGAATAAAGGTTAAAAAATGTTTTTTGCACAAGAACCTTTGAAATAAAATACTTCTGCAGGGAAGCTGATAATCACAGTGCCCACGCTTGTTAGTTTAATTAGGTGAATTTACACACTCGGAATTATAGCCTCAAAAAAAAGATTAGTTTATAATTATGCCTAATAGTGTGAATAATAAATCAATTTTCAAATCTGTTGTAACCGCAATGCGCTTTAACAAATTAATGCTTAGGTTGAAAGGAGAACATCACTAGGTCTTGAAACTATTCTAAGTAAAAATTGTTACACATTTTCATTACTAGTGAGGTTTTATTTTAAGTAATAGAATGTAATAAATAGTGATTTCTAAATTAAAACATGAAATTTCTTCTCGTCAAAATGAGACATCTTACGAGTATTCAAATTTTTACGGGAGGGGGCTGCTATGGGACTAAATGGTGATCATAAATGTTATGGGAGTACTTATTAGTAGTCATTTATGAACAAACAGAGACTTATTAAATTATATTAGTTGATTATTTTTGGTTTAAGTGAATCTCTAATGATATTAATGATGTACTTTTCATACAGATAATTCCTAAAACTTAAGAATTTTTAATAAGTACCGATTCAAAACGCTCAGTTAGCGTACGTGTCACAACCACGTAATCAGAATATTTGCGAGGTGTTAACGGAGGATGTGGACTCAACGTTACATTGTTAGAAGCAAAACTTACGGAAAATCGTGGTAACAACCGGATCCGACCACTTGCAGGAAACTGCTAGAAGCCGGAGGAAAGACTGAATGGGGCAATATTCCCCATTCTACAAGAGCGCGTATAAATATAACTTCGTAGAGAGCGGATGCTACGCCTAGAAATAAAAATATCGGCTGTAGATGTTGCTACTCCTGGAGCGACCGAGTCACAAGACCCTTCACGTCTCCAGCATATGTTTTGGCTATTTGTGGTACACCGGCTTGAAAATGTAAAGCATTACCATTTAGAAATTAAACCGTTCCACTGAAAACGTTAATTCCCGTTGAACACAAATGCTGTTCAAAATTTTCTAAACTGTCCAATACGTCAATTATTATGAAAGTACATCCATCTTCGTCAAAGTTATCAAACAAAAAATGTTTTTCGTCTTAACATGGTCGGCTGGTGATCGATTGATGAAGCTGGGTTCAATTATACTCGAAGGTATACAAAACAAAAATAATCAATTACTGTCTTTTTCTATTCATGACAAAATCATTTTTTCTGCAATAACAGAATGTATTATCTCGGAACAAACTTGAAAAACAATTACGAAGAGAAAAAGGAGCGAGGCCGTTAGATTAACGACGCCGGTAGTCAGCCAAACGTGAAATAAAAATTTGCATATTTTCACTGAAGGGCCGTAAAGTTGTTGCAAAGAGAATTTCTTCTCCCTACTTGGGTATTTCCCACATTTTTAAATAAAATCAATTTTAAAAAGATCCACGTTCCTTTAAAACGCGAAGGAGGTGTAAATCACAGGATGGAAGCCTTGGAAATAGATTATCTCTGATATTATCATAGAGAAAATATGGTTATTGGAAACTTCGTTGTCGTGAATAATGGAAGAAAAGGATGGAAAGGGGGAAGGAAAATAGCCCACGTTGTCGTCGGCCCTTGTCGCCCTTTATCTAACCAAAACCTTCTTGTATGGTAATCTACAAGACCTCTAATTTAAATAGTACTGAATGAGTAAATGTGGCAAAAAACCATCATAACATCAGCTTTAGAAAGAAAATACCTTCAAAACATCCACCAAAATGCGTTAAAATGGACTAATTGGCATAATTACTTAACATATAAAATTTAGCTCAATCTATTCATACCAATGTATGTACAGATATACAACATTTTGCAACTAAATTAACATGTAACCTATGTAACGTTTGTAATAAATACTATTTTTCACTTGATAATTCGTTAGCCAATAGTCAATAAATCCTCCCGGGCATGAGGGTAAACTGCGTCCACCCACATATTACACATCCCCCTACCTACACTTACACTGACATAAGTACACTAACAGTACACA